ATTCACCAGAAATTGGGAGAAAATTGGTATAGGATTTCCTGCCTAATCGGAGAGGGGGGGGGGTCTACTAGAATACCTCCAAGGTCCCTTTCAAACTGTTTATCCTATCCTATCCTATCCATTGTTTTTGCAATGCTTATTTTAAAAAAAACCATGTTGGAACCACTATCTGCCTTCTGCATTTTTTTTTTACTCACCATACTTCACTCGGATTGCAATGAAGAACAAGAATTGCATTTGTTCCTGCTGACCCAGCTTCAAATTCCCACCCTCTTAGGTCACTCTTGTGATGGGTTGTCTGCTAAAAGGAAGCAAGGCTATGACATACCCTTGAAAGAAAACCAGGAAGCCTGTAATTGTGGAGCTTGTCTGACAAGAACAAAGAATGCTTATTGACAGAGAAGATGCAGGTTTAAAACTTGTTATGGACTCTGGGTGGTTAAAGAACTGAAAACAGTAACAAAATACCACAATTATAAGTTAGGAATAGGGATGGGCAAATAGAATATGTATTACATAACTCCAGAAGCATTCATTAGCCAAGGCTGAGGAATAGGGACGGCTAGAAACCAATAGAACAATTCTTAAGAGTGTTAATAAAATGTTTATTAGATGATATTTCTTATATATCCTGCCTTATCCCACTTTAGTCAAACTGTATAAAGCTTTCTTAATTCTATTGTTCAGGGTTCCTTGGCATTTTTGGCCAGGACGTGCTTCAACAAAAGAAAACAAAAAACCTTCACTTAGTGTTCTTCATCGGCTTCAGCAGTAGGCTCAAACCCCAAATGGGGACAACACTTGCTTAGTGTTTCTCAACCTCAACAAGTCTAAGATGTGTGGACTTCAAACACCAGAATTTTCCAGCCACCCATGCTGGATTCCAGGAGGTGAAGAGGTTGAGAAACGCTGCTCTATCTTAAGCTATTTCTCAGTATGACAGCTTGGATGACCTTCATAGAAAAGAACTTTTTAAAAACAAAATTGGGTATGTCTAGTTTAACGAAGAGAAGGACGAGGGGGGGCAAGATAGCAGTGTTCCAATATCTCAGGGGCTGCCCCAAAGAAGAGGGAATCAAGCTATTCTTCAAAGTGCCTGAAGGCAGGACAAGAAGCAACAGATGGAAACTAACCAAAGAGAGAAGCAACCTAGAACTAAGGAGAAACTTCCTGACAGTTAGAACAATTAACCAGTGGAACAACCTGCCTCCAGAAGCGGTGAATGCGCCAACACTGGAAGTTTTTAAGAAGAGACTGGATAGCCATTTGTCCGAAATGGAATAGGGTTTCCTGCCTGAGCAGGGAGTTGGACTAGATGACCTCCAAGGTCCCTTCCAACTTTATTATTATTAATAATAATTGGGAATCAGCAGAAAGTAATCATTTGTAACCCTTCCGCTTCTTTGTTGAAAAGCAAAATAAAATGAAGTTCCTTCCATCCACCCCTCTTCTGTTCCATTCTTCAACAAGCAAGACGAAATAAAAGTGACTTGAATATAAGGGAGGACTGGGATCAGTTTAACAGAAACCTTCTGCTTATTCATGAGTGTAAGCATAAAGGCAACATTTATGAATTCGTGCACTTATGTTTTAATCCCTTTGGTACTGGTGGAAAACACATGGGTATAGAATAACAGATTTACACACTTGTCTGACTAAAACGCAACAGAGTTGATTTTTCTTCTCCAGATGTTTCATTGGTTCATAAACAGAGCTGAAAAAAAAATGTTTCAAATCAAAAATTGCCATACTGACTTTTTAAAGCCTGGACTTTTAAAGTCACCAACTCCGCAACCTTTTTATATTGTCTGCATACAGACATGAATCTCCATTTAGATCAGGGGTCTTCAAACTTGGCCCTTTTATGACTTGTGGACTTAACTCCCAGAATTCCTCAGCCAGGCAGGAGTTGAAGTCCACAAGTCATAAAAGGGCCAAGTTTGAAGACCCCTGATTTAGATCCTCCCATCAATTCACATTATAAAAGTGTCTGTTTTGATCTTTTTCAATTCTTTGGGCTCAGGGTAATATGGACTTTGAAGATTTTTTTTTTTTTGCAGAATGTAATTTCTTATTGGTGTAATAAATGTACGAAAATAAACAAATTACACTAGCAACAGCGCTGAATGTGCAAAATATTACAGGTAGTCCTCGACTTACAACAGTTCATTTAGTGACCGTTACAAGGGCACTGAAAAAAGTGACAAGTTACGACCGCCTTTCACAGTTACCTTTCCAGCATCCCCATGATCAGGTGATCAAATTTCAGATGCTTGGCAACTGGCTCATATTTATGACCGTGGCTGTGTCATGCGGTCCTCTTTGGCGACCTTCTGACAAGCAAAGTCAATAGGGGAAGCCAGATTCACTTAACGACCGGGTTACTAACTTACCAACTGCAGTGATTCACTTAACAACGGAGGCAAGAAAGGTCGTAAAATGGGGCAAAACTCACTTAACAAATGTCTCACTTAACAACGGAAATTTCGGGCTCAATTGTAGTCCTAAGTCGAGAACCACCTGTATTTCAAAACCTTGAGGTTCTCCCCTCGTGGCCGATGGAAAGGAGAATAGAATCAAAGCTCTGTTACTTAATGCTCTTTTGGGAAGCAGAAATCTAACCTCCTGATGAATCTATTTCTGATTCGAATGCCCTTCCTCTCATTCCTGTGGGTCCCACCCGTGGATGAAGCAATTCCTCAGTGTGTTAATTCCTACAAGTACAAACCACGTTTGGTTACTAGTGCTGGGTTCTGGTCATCCTACAGGCCATCCTCAAGTTACGCCTGTAATGGAGCCTGCCCATCACACTCATAACTCGTGACCATTGTAAATTGGGTCACCTCACCCACGTGACCGACCCGATTTTACATGTTTGTGGTGGTTGTCAAGTCAACACTGCAGTCATGAAGTGAACCCAGGGTTCCCCATGGACGCGGTTTTGCTGAAAACTGGAAAGAAGCGCCGGTTTTCAGGGAAACCATTTGTACAATGCAGTCACATGACCGTCAGAGACTGCAAAAGGCCGCAAATGCAACTTGGTTGACAAGTGTCCAAAACACAATCGAGGTGATTGGGGAAGGGGCAACCGTCAGTTTATATCCGGGTCATAGGTATCCCTAGGGAGGTTCATCATAACATGAGGGTTGCTGAGGGACCAGTCCCAAGTTAAGCACTGCCTGTAGTAAATTGAGGACTGTCACAAAATTGGAACCCAATCAGGTCCCTTGAAATTATTTACCGATGAACTTTTCAATCAACGAGCAAGCTGACAGGCCACATTTGCACACTGTGTACTGAAGTATTCGGGAATCTCCAGGAATGATCTTTCTCTTCTCTGACTCCTCTTGCCATCAAAATTGGCTAAGCCAGACATGTCAAACACAAGGCCCGGGGGCCGGATGCGGCCCACAAAGTGGTTTCATGTGGCCCACGAAGCCATCCTGGAAACAGTGGGGGAATGGCCCCCGCTGCCTTGGCCCTGGCCCAGGCCGGCCAGGAGCCAATGTACAATTTTGTGGCCATCTATGCTGAAACGCATTCAGTCTTAGCTCCACAAGGCCATCTAGAAACAGCGAGAAAATAGCCCTTGCTGCATTGGCCCCGCCCCCTGGGTGCATGCTGGGGAGGTGTTACCCTTTGTGAGGAATGAAGAAATGGACCATACTTTGGCACTTGCCCCAGTCCCACCCCCTTCTGCCAGAGACCCTCAGATCTGTCCCACTCCTGTCCAGGCCCCCACATGCATCCTTGAGGCGAACGATGTAGAGCTGGCCATGCCCACCCAATAAGCCATATCCACTCCATCCACGCCCACCCAGTAGGCCACACCCACCTTGGACACATCCATCTGCCCCGCCCCCAAGGGCAACTACAACGCTGATGAGGCCCTCAATGAAATTGAGTTTGACACCCCTGGGCTAAGCCATCCAGCATTCGTACATGGGACGGCATTGCGTTGGGGTTTATTTCTAATCCTGTTTTGTTGAACAAACCATAGTATTTCTGTACTTGGTTATTTTTTTAGGAAAAAAAAATTTGATGCTCAAGAATCATTCCCAAACTACACCAAGGGAGTTCTTTCTCTGGCCTGTTTAGGATGGTGTATAAAGCTGGCCAACTCTGCGCTTGGAAACTCGGTTTTCCGTTTTTCCAACCTTCTTAGGTGAGCTAGAGACACATCATGGTTAATGAAGCAGAGAAAGAATTTGCACCACTTATATAACACAAGCTTCTGCAACATCTGCCTGCAGATGTCCAGCTCTCTTCCCAAGGGGCACTTGCTATCTCCCTGAAGAAACCACGATAACCCTTTTAAAATGCAAAATAGACCTTGCACGAGGTCTCATCCAACTTCAGCGCTCTTTGCGGTGTCTTGGGATACCTCAGCATGAAAGTATCACAAAGTCTGGCAGTCTCGCTTCCCTTGCAGATTTGGGAGTGGAGAGGAGATACTTCTGGTTTAGCTTCCTCCCACTGGCAAACGAAGCCCAAAGGGAAAGAAGGTCATTCACAAGAGACAAGGTCACACCCAGAAAACCAGATCTTTACAGGACTCTGATTGACCGGACACAACTCGGTTCCCTTCTTTCTGTGTTCTTTCTTGACCTACGCCAGTGATGGCAGACCTTTTAGAGTCCAAGTGCCCAAACTGCAACCCAAAACCCACTTATTCATCACTGGGTGCCAGGTGGGCGTGGCCCACTGGGTAGGCGTGGCTGTGGTGGTCATGGCAGATTGGGTGGGTATGGCCAAGGTGGGCGTGATCACCTCGATGTTGCTCGTGGGAAGGGACATCTGTGGGGGCCAGGCAGAGTTGGGAGAGATCCAGGGGGTCTCTGGCAGGTGGGGCGGTGGGCAGGAGGCTCATCCTGTGGGATGAGGTGAGGCAAGGCAGGGCGGGGGTGCCATTGTCACAGGGCAAGGTGAGGCAGGGGCCAGGGCAGCTGCTGCTTAACACCATAGGCCCCTGCACACAGAGGCCAATGAGCGCATAGGGATGCATCCAGCCATGTGGGACTTCAGCGAGTTAGCGGGCAGCTGGTTGAAGGGGGATGGTTGCCATCTCTGAGTGCTACCTCTGGCATGCGTGCCATAGGTTCGCCACCACTGACCTTCGCCATGGTATACCACTACTGGTAGTAGCGGAGCTTACCCGTTACAGTCATGTCATAACAGACACTGAACATGACCAACCTGATATTAAGAACCCTTTTGCCACCATCGTTCAGCAAATCATTGCATTCATTAAACAAATCTGCAGTCGTTAAGGAAACACCATCGGGTCTTAAGTAAACCAATGGCTTCCTACGGGTGCAGTTTTGCCAAGTGCTGGTTTTCAGCAAAACCTTTGCCAAATGCGGTCACGTGATCATGGGATACCGCGAATGGCTCTGTTGCCAAGTGCCCGAAATTTGGTCACATGGCCGTGGAGGGGGCCCAACCGTCACAACTCCGAACTCCAGGTTGTTAAAAGTCCCCTTTTTCAGGTCGACTGTAACTTCGAGCGAGGATTGCCTGTTACCTAGCTGTTCCTATCGCCTTACTACTGTCTTTTTGCCTAAAATGCCCATTATAGCTTCTCCCTCATGTGGATTTTCTGATGCCTGGACAGATTAGAGGAACTGGAGAACATTTTCTCGCACTCGGGGCACCCGTACGGCTTCTCGCCAGTGTGAGTCCGCATGTGCTTTTTGAGCCCTTGGCTCCATCGGAAGCTCTGTCCACACTCCGAGCAGACGTAGGGCTTCTCTCCCGTGTGCGACCTCTCGTGTTTGGCAAGCTGCGATCGCTGAATAAAACTATTCCCACAGTAGGTACACTGATAGGGCTTCTCGCCAGTATGCGTCCTTTTATGGGCAGTGAAGTGAGAACTAGAAATGAAGCACTTCCCACAGTCCGGGCACTGGTAAGGCTTCTCGCCCGTGTGTGTCCGCTTGTGCGTGGTGAGGTGAGAACTGTAAGAGAAGCATTTCCCACACTCGGCACACTGGTACGGCTTCTCCCCAGTGTGGATTCTCTCGTGCTTCCTCAGCTGGCAGCTAGAAATGAAGCTCTTCCCACAGTCGGAGCAGACGTACGGCTTCTCCCCCGTGTGGGTCCTGGTGTGCGTAATAAGGTCCGACTTTTGATTGAAACTTTTGCCGCAGACGGCGCACTGGTGAGGCCGCTCTCCGGTATGAGTCCATTTATGTATCACCAGATGTCGGGTCTGACTGAAAGTTTCTCCACAGTCTGGACATTTATAAGGCTTCTCCCCCTTGTGGGTGCCCTCATGGATCACTAACTGTGGCCTGTACCGGAAAGTCTGACCGCAGTCCAGGCAGCGGTACGGTTTCTCGCCCGTGTGAACTCTCCGGTGCCTCAGGAGGTTGCAGCGAGTGCCAAAGCTCTTCCCACACTCGGAGCATTTGTACGGCTTCTCCCCGGTGTGAGTTCTCTCGTGGATGAGGCGCCCGATTTTATCACTGAAGGTTTTCCCACACAACGAGCATTTATAAGGCTTCTCCCCGGTATGGAACCTCTCGTGGATAATCAGGGATTCCTTCCGGGTGAAGCTTTTCCCACAAGCTGAGCATTTGTGGGGCTTCTCCCCTGTGTGGGTTCGCTCGTGAATCACCAGGTGGGCGCGGCAGTCAGACAGCTTCCCACAATATTGGCACTTGTGCAGTTTTTCCTTCCTTGGGGGAGAGTCAAAAGTCGCCTTCATCCTCCTGCTACTGTACATTCCCTGGGGCAGGTCTGTGACTTCTCCAAGGAAGTACGGTTGATGGTCAGAGTTTCCTAGAAGAACAAGCAAGTTAGAAGGACATCAGTTATACACAAAAACTCAACTCAACTCAACTCAAGGCTCTTTGGATTGGCACTCAATGCCTGCTGATTTCATGGATTAGTCCAGGGATAGGCAACCTTGGCTCTTTTATGACTGGTGGACTTCAACTCAGAATTGGCTGGCTCAGAATTCCTGAGCCAGCCATGCTGAGGGAAAGGGAGAGGTTTGCAAGCTGAGCCATGCTGGCTCAGGAATTCTGGGAGTTGAAGTCCACGTCATAAAAGGGCCAAGGTGGCCTACCCCTGAAGTAGACTATAAAATAACAGTTGGAGGTCATCTAGTCCAACGTCCTTCTCAAGCAGGAGATCTTATTCCAGGGGTAGGCCACCTTGGCTCTTTTTGGACTGGTGGACTTCAACTCCCAGAATTCCTGAGCCAGCCATGCTGAGGGGAAAGGGAGGTTTGCAAGCTGAGCCATGCTGGCTCAGGAATTCTGGGAGTTGAAGTCCACATCATAAAAGGGCCAAGGTGGCCTACCCCTGAAGTAGACTATAAAATAACAGTTGGAGGTCATCTAGTCCAACATCCTTGTCAAGCAGGAGATCTTATACCAGGGGTAGGCCACCTTGGCTCTTTTATGACTCATGGACTTCAACTCCCAGAATTCCTGAGCCAGCTATGCTGAGGGGAAAGGGAGAGGTTTCCAAGCTGAGCCATGCTGGCTCAGGAATTCTGGGAGTTGAAGTCCACGAGTCATAAAACGGCCAAGGTTGCCTACCCCTGGATTAGTTGATACAGGTTTCTTGACAGCAACACAGAAACCGATCATCGTTTCCTTTTTCAGGGCACCTTTTCACCCCCTGCACAATCTAGCTTTCAGACCTTGTCTTCCCAATTTGTCTCCCATCCATGGACTCTCCAGGCTTATCCCTGCTTAGCTTCCCAGCCCAAGGAGGCCACCTGAATGCTGCCACTTGCTTGTTTGTTAAAGAGGAGAAGCGCCATTAGCGTCAGAGATGCTGGACAAACTCCTGACCTGTGTCCCAATTTCGTGTGGCTCTTGTGGTCATCTCAAAGACCAATAGGACCAATCTGATCGCTCCGTGGCAAACCAAGGGAGAAGCATAAAGGAGATGCATAAAGAGAATATTGTGGGCAAACGCTTCCTCGCCTAAAGCAACTGAATCGCTTGGAAGAGGCAACGTATCATTATTAAGCATGCAAAATGTTACGGTGCACATTGAACCCCACAGCCAAGCATTGGCAGCTTCCTGAGCACCCCTGAACTAAAGCTGAACCACAGTTTGTATACTGTTGGCTAACTATGTTACAAAGGTATAGAAAGAGCAAGTCAACATGTACACTTCAGTGTGTTAAACTATTTTTGATAATCCCATCTGAGTGACCTCCTTTATTATTTATCACTTCTACTAGATCACCATGGCAACTATGCTCTCTCTGCTCCATCACTAGAGGCTTTTAAGAAGAGGCCGCACAGCCGCTTGTCTGAAAGGGTACATAGGATTATGTACTTCATCATCATCATCATCATCAAGTTGGAAGGGACCTTGGAGGTCATCAAGTCCAACCCCCTACTCAGGCAGGTAACCCTATACCATTTCAGACAAATGGCTGTCCAGTCTCTTCTTAAAAACTTCCAGTGTTGGAGCATTCACCGCTTCTGGAGGCAGGCTGTTCCACTGGTTAATTGTTCTGACTGTCGGGAAGTTTCTCCTTAGTTCTAGTTGCTTCTCTCCTTGATTAGTTTCCATCCGTTGCTCCTTGTCCTGCCTTCAGGCGCCTTGGAAAATAGCCTGACTCCCTCTTCTTTGGGGCAGCCCCTGAGATATTGGAAGACTGCTATAATAATAATAATAATAGTAAAGTTGGAAGGGACGTTGGAGGTCATCTAGTCCAACCCCCTGCTCGGGCAGGAAACCCTACACCATTTCGGACAAGTGGCTGTCCAGTCTCTTCTTAAAAACTTCCAGTGTTGGAGCATTTACTGCTTCTGGAGGCAGGCTGTTCCACTGATTAATTGTTCTCACTGTCAGGAAGTTTCTCCTTAGTTCTAGGCTGCTTCTCTCCTTGATTAGTTTCCACCGTTGCTTCTTGTCCTGCCTTCAGGTGCTTTGGAAAATAGCTTGATTCCCTCTTCTTTATGGCAGCCCCTGAGATATTGGAATACTGCTATCATGTCCCCCCTTGTCCTTCTCTTCGTTAAACTAGACATACCCAATTCTAGCAACCGTTCCTTATATGTTTTAGCCTCCAGTCCCCTAATCATCTTTGTTGCTCTTCTCTGTACTCTTTCTAGAGTCTCAACATCTTTTGTACATCGTGGTGACCAAAACTGGATGCAGTATTCCAAGTGTGGCCTTACCAAGGCATTGTAAAGTGGTATTAATACTTCACGTGATCTTGATTCTATCCCTCTGTTAATGCAGCCTAGCACTGTGTTGGCGTTTTTGGCAGCTGCAGGGTCAAGCAGGGTCTCCTGTTTGAACAGGGGGGTGGACTAGAAGACCTCCAGGGTCCCTTCCAACTCTGTTATTCTGTATCCTGAAATTCTTCCCCCTTTGGCCACTCAGGGTAAATTCAGCTTCCCATGAATGTCTTCTTACAATGGCACTTTTTGTAGTTCCCGTGGACAGGTAGTCCTTGACTTATAACCGTTGGCTTAGCGACTGTCTGAACTTACAACAGACTTGAAAAAAAGTGACTTACAACTGGTCCTTGCACTTAACAACCATCGCAGCATCCCGATGGTCACATGACCAATATTTGGGTGCTTTGCAACTGGCTTGTAGTTGCAAGCGTTGTAGCTGCTCAGGATCATGTGATCACCATTTGCTACTCTCTAATCCACAGGAGCGTCAGAATAGGGTGGGAGGTACAACACAAACAGACGTGCAAGATTTTCTTATTATATTCAGTCTCAATTTTTTTTAAAAAGTGTTAGAGCAGTGGTTCTCAACCTGTGGGGTCGGGACCCCATTTGGGGTCAAACGACCATTTCACGGGGGTCGCCAACCAACGCAGTCCGCCATTTTTTTCCCCTTTTCCTTAGTTGTGCTGCTCCCTTTTATTCTATTGGCTTTTGAAAGCCAATAGAATAGACTCTCTTGAATAGAGTCTAATTCTATTGGCTTTCAAAAGCCAATAGGAATTATCCAGGCTGTCTCTGCCCTGCTGAGCCCACCAAAAGTCCCATTCTGCAAACAGTGCTGCACCAGTTGAGTAGTCCTCGACTTACGACCGGTTGGGGGTCACGGCATTAAAAAGGTTGAGAACCACTGTGTTAGAGTCTTCCTGTGGAGTTGATTTCTTGGTCTGGTCTATCAAATGGAGCTGATGCCCAGGGACCTTACATGGCTGAGGAGAGGCTAGAACTTGGGTATCCCCACTTTTAGCCCAGCAACGGCACCTTCGCCCCTGCAGCCCCCCAGCTCTCTAATAGGAAAACCATCCAGAGACACCCCCTACTGCACATTGGTCGCCTCCCCATCAACTGCAGGGGTAAAAAAAGCCTGCAAGGTGGTGATAAATAAATGAGGGTAGTCCTCACTTAGTGACTACAATTGTGACTGGCAATTCTGTCACTAAGATTTGTGGTGACTGGCACCTTCAAATACCCCCAAAGGCCGTGATCAGGACGTACGTTTCCGATCGATCAAGTTCTACCTACATTTACAAGATTTCATCCCCAGGTTTTTCAAAGCATTTTGGTCTACTCACCGTCTCCATCCATGGGGACCTCAACTTTCACAATATCCAATGGATCCAGTTCGGAATTGGAAGACTCATCAGGCAAGTCAGCCAGATCTTCCTATGGGTGAAACATGACGATGTCTAAGGAGATGATTGGGACACATCCTCTCACTATCAGCCAACAGCTGGCACACAAACCAGGATCAACTGGAGATTCATTTCAGCCCTTCTCGAACTCTGGCGAAATAATTTTCCAAGGCTACAAAGCCACTGGGGTTCAGGAAGCAATGATGTGGCCCAAGCCGGCTGCTTTAGAGATTGGTAAAGTCACAAGGGAAACCACAGTTTACTTGTCCAGAACAAGTTTAAAATGTCCTAATTTTAATCTCTCAGCTTGGCAATGAGGGAAATGACCATCCCTGAATCTGAGAAGAATGCCGGTCAAAACAGATCCCATTTAGCCATTCCAATTCTTTAACTGTGCATAAAGAAATGTTGTACTTTCACAGAATTTAGTACTTAACGCAGCAAATATGTGGAGGAATTTGCACGTGCAGCAAACTGCCATGCATTGCCCCCCACAAACCTCATATAACCTTTTGATACCCTTTGTCCCAAGGAAGCAGCCAAAAGATCACCCCCTTTTTGACTTAATATCTTACCTACCTAAATAAGTTCCCCCTTATCTCTTCCTGTCTTTATCTCTTCTTGTCTTTATCAGTTCTTTCTCCTTTTCTAATTTACCTGTATTTGTTTTACCTGCTCTCAACAGGTAATGTGTTACTAGAAAATAATTGCTTATATGAAGGAATTTTTTCAATTACTTTATGTCAACAACTAAAGGTTAAACTTCTAAATGTAAAATGTCAGCAGTTAATGGTAAAGCCTATGTATGTAAAAACTATATAAAAAACAATAAACTCAGAGGTGGAGAAGCTGTGTGAAGATGTGTCATGCAGCTTCAAACCTCTGCCCAAGACATGCCTGAGTCTTTTTCTTAGCATCGTTACACAAATAGATTAAAAGGACGAAACTTTAGTGAACTCCAGCCGACATCATCAGAGCTATAGAGTGGTTCGAATCATTGTAAGTTAAATTTATAACGAGGGAGAGGAAGCTGAGGAAGACAGATTGGTTATACCATTGGTGGCAAACGTAAGGCACGGGTGCCAGAGGCGGCACTCAGAGCCCTCTCGGTGGGCACGCACACCGTCGCCCCAGTCCTAGGCCTTCAGCTGGGTTTTATAAAACCTTTTTCCTTTAGGCCTCCGCCGCCATGTGCAAAAAAAAAAAAAAGAGAGAGATTCAATCAATCAGTCAATTTCAACTTCTTCTCGTGGGAAAAAAAAGATCTTGCAAAGTTGGAATTGATTGGTTGAACTTTTTAGTCCCACCCAGTCTGCTGTTACCACCGCAGCCACACCCACCCAATGGGCCATACCTACTCAATAGGCCATACCCATCCGGCACCCGACAATGCATAAGTGGGTTTTGGGTTGCAGTTTGGGCATTCAGTCTCTAAAAGGTTCGCCATCACTGGGTTATACAAATGCAGCCCAGGTTATGGGTATCTTAACAATTGTGTTAGAAACTGACTCTTTGTGTTCAGGCTTCTCTTTAGCACAGTGGTTCTCAACCTGTGGGTCGGGACCCCATTTGGGGTCGAACGACCATTTCACGGGGGTCGCCAAACAATGCAGTCCGCCATTTTTCCCCCCCTTTTCCTTAGCTGTGCTACTCCCTTTTATTCTATTGGCTTTTGAAAGCCAATTAGAATAGACTCTCTTGAATAGAGTCTAATTCTATTGGCTTTCAAAAGCCAATAGGAATTGTCCAGGCTGTCTCTGCCCTGCTGAGCCCGCCAAAAGTCCCATTCTGCAAACAGTGCTGTACCAGTTGAGTAGTCCTCGACTTACGACCGGTTGGGGGTCGCGGCATTAAAAAGCTTGAGAACCACTGCTTTAGCAGCACCACAGAGTGAGATTTTGCTGAACTCCCATACAGCAAAAGACTCCAGCCATCTCAAAAGGTCTCACTTTTTTTAAAAAAAAAAGGATATTGATAAGATTGAGCGAGTTCAGAAACAGGCAACAAAAATGGTGCAAGATCTGAGAGACAAAAGGCACCAGGAGAGATGGGAGGAACTGAATATCTACTCCTGCCTGAAGGATAGAAGGGAAAAGAAAGACATGATTGAAAGCCTGAAATATATTAAGGGTGTGAATAAGATTCTAAGAAGCGGTCTCTTCAACATTAAGCAAAAAATCAAGATCCTGGGGGACATAACCACAACAGACAGGGGGAAAGTTCAAATAATAGAAAATATTATTTCACAGAAAGAGTAATGGATGCTTGGAACCAACCTCCAGCAGAGGCCACGGTGGGTCAATCATCAGTAACTGAGTTTAAACATGGGTTTAATACAGGTCAGTCATCTGACAAAAATTAAAAAATAACTCAAAGGACAAACTCGATGGACCACTAGATCTTCTTGTGCCGTCGGTTTTCTATGTTTCTATGTCTCAACAAACACACTGGGTTTATCACATTATTACAATTGCTCTTTGATAAGGAAGTTTTTAACCAGCTTCTCAAGCCTGTTTCACCAAAACTTAAAAATTAAGTCATGCCAGACATCCGATTATGAGCTGCAGCTCACAAAGGCTGATGTCTTTTAATAAAAAGTGCTAGATGGAAAGGCACCTACCAGAGCATTTTAGGATGCTTTTTTGTCATTAAAAACAC